AAAAGTTCCAAAAATATTCATTAACTTCATTTATAACATGTTATATGAGAGGACTATACATATTTTTTTAGAAAATGGACATAAAATATCCAGGACGACTTGGAAAGGATTACCCCAGGGCTCTGTTCTTAGTCCGTTACTCTATAATATATACACATATGATTTAGAACATTTCCTTAATGGGTCTGCAAATATTCTACAGTATGCAGATGATTTACTTCTGTATGTTTCGGATGAATCTGCTCATAAAGCTTGTGAGTGCTTAAATTACTCTTTGCGTCTATTGAGTATTTGGAGTGAATCAAATGGTCTTGAATTGTCTGCCTCTAAAAGTACCACTGTAGTATTTTCCAGAAAACGTGTTCTTCCAAAAATCCACATTTCTTATAAAAATAGTCCAATTCCAGTTAAGAATAATGCAAAATTTTTAGGTCTAATATTGGACTCAAAACTTACTGGCATTCCGCATTTCGATTATGTAGTAGCAAAATGTGAACGTCAACTAAATATGTTAAGATGCCTTTCTGGTGTATGGTGGGGTGCGCACCCCATCTCCTTAAAGTTAGTTTACAACGCTATCATTAGAAGCATTGTAGATTATGGTACATTTTTATTGGAACCTTGTAACGCATCTGGTCTTAAAAAAATCGATTTAATTCAATCAAAAGCTTTACGAATAATATCTGGTGCAATGAAATCCAGTCCCATTAATGCTCTTCAATTAGAATGTGGAGATCCGCCGCTCCACTTAAGAAGACAATATTTAGCTGATAGATTCCTGTTTCGTTGTTTACAATTTTTAAACCATCCTTTAATAACAAAACTACAAACCTTATGTCAAGTCATTAATTCATCTTCGTATTGGAAACTCAAGGAATTGCCATGTCTTGTTAAAAGTTACCAAAAATATCTTGCTATTGAAGCCCCCATGTATCGTTCCAAAACTCTTCCACTGTTTGAAACCGATTATAAAATCTTGACTCTTACACCCTCCATAAAACTCAATGTTGGAATAAAAAAAGATGAAATAGAGATTCATACAGCTTTTAAATTCATTATTGAAAATAACTGGGAGAATTGGCACTATATATATAGTGATGCTTCTAAACATACCAATAATAGTTGTGTTGGGGTTGGAGTATTTCATTCTCAGTATAATATTGTACAAAAAATTAAATTACCTCCTGAATCATCAGTATTTACTGGGGAATGTTTTGGTCTATTTCGCGCAGTAGAATATATATTATTAACAAACTTATGTAAAGCTATAATTTTTACGGACTCTCTAAGTTCTTTACAAACATTAGCACATTTTCCGCTTAAATCAAAATGCCAATATCCTATAATTTTAGAAATAAGAAAATTGTTATACAAATGCCAAGTTAAAAAACATTACAGTAGTTTTTGCATGGATTCCCGGGCATAGCGGCATTAAAGGAAATGAAAAGGCAGACGAGTTAGCAAATGAAGCCGTGTTAAGCGGTGATATATATCCTTACACTAATTATTGTCACGATCTTCTTTCCTTGTCGAAGCGATATTTGAAAGAGTCCTGGGAACATTACTGGACATCTCCTAGCCTAGTGAAAGGAAAATTCTACTCCTCAATTCAACCGACAATTCCAAATAAGCCTTGGTACACTCAAGTCAATTTAAATAAATATTGTACTAGTTCTTTAATTCGTTTGCGATTAGGTCACTGCTGTTCTCCGTCTTTTCTGTTTAAGATTCATGTTGTAGATACTTCTTTATGTGCTTGTGGAACGGAAGAAGGAAATTTGAACCATATTTTCCTTTCTTGCCCATTATATGACCGCTCCTCTCTTTTTACTGATCTTCTATTGCTCCGGATACCTTTTCCTATTAATATACCATTCCTTTTAGCATATAACGACCCTTGTGTATATAAAACATTAGCTTCATTTATTCAGAAAAATGCTATAAAACTATAGTATAATTTGGTTAATAGGTTTATATATATAAATGTATGCGTATGTATGTGTGTATATATGGGTATATATATATATATATATATATATATATATATATATATACATATATATGTGTGTATATATGTATATATATTATGTGTATTTGTGTAAATACGATATTAATAAAACTAAATATTCTGTAATTAATAATACTTTATCACATTGAATATATGTATCGTAAATCTTCTTGATTATTTTCCTTTTTCCAAATTCCGCTTCCTAGTCCTGTTGAAATAAATTTATATTTCAACAAAACCACTGTTTCCTTCCTTTTACTTGTCATTGGCATAAAGGATAACAAAATGCCACAATAAAAAAAAAAAAAAAAAAAAAAAAAAAAAACTATCGTTGACATTTGACAATGACAAGTAATTTGTTTATGTTTGTTAACAATTTTTAAAAACAATTAAATTAACAATCAAAGCTTAAGACTAATGAAATGAGGGAAATATCTTTTATTGACTAACATATAGTTTTAAGTTTTAAATACATTTCCCTAAAAGTGAAATGAATGTGACAATCTTATACAATGAAATACAATGAAGTGTTTACAAACTTATTCTTATAACTTTGAACTAAAATACAAATTATAAATATAACACATTTCTTTTCTTTATTAATTTTCCTCGACTACTATACTTAGGTGACTGAGTATTACTATGATTTACATTTTCTTTTGACTTAAAATAACTTGTTACAATCATACTATCATCCTCTTTATCTAACAAAGAATTATTTGACATATTAATATTACTAGGCTTAGTGTGATTGTCTGACTCTGATGGTATGTATGCTGATTGTGATGATTGTTTGTTGTATCTTTGACGGATGTGTTGTGAATTCCTTCTGTAAGTAGTGCCATATTCATCTTTGACAATATATGAACGGGGAAAGTTGGACTTTGAGACAATAGTACCTCTTGACCAAGAAATACCTTTAGGATTCTTTTTGAAATATACTAAATCTTTATCATTAAAATCTGAATACTGATGAGAATTTTTATCATAATAGAACTTTGATTTATCTATGTTTTTGTGTTTGTTTTTTGAATGTATTGAAAATTTTACAACTTTAGGTTTTAAATTAGCTATTTTAGAAGGTAATTTGGTTCTTAGCTGACGCGACATTAACAGTTGTGAAGGGGAATTTATATTTCCTCTAGGTGTTGTTCTGTGTTGTAAAAGTCCTAAATAATAATCTGTATTTGACTCATCACATTTTCTAAAAATATTTTTTATAGTTTTAACAGAAACTTCTGCTAGACCGTTTGATCTGGGGAAATGAGGACTTGACATTATGTTTTGAATATCCCAATCATATAAGAAATTTTTAAAATCAGCTGAATTATAAGGGGGACCACCATCACTGACTAATTGTAAAGGAATTCCATGTCGAGCAAATAGTGATTTTAATTGTGTAATTACTATTGAACTTCTACTATCATTGTTCAAATAAGCTATTTCAATGTAATTTGAATAGTAGTCTACAACTAATAAGTATTTCTTTCCTTTATAATCAAACAAATCAGTTTTTGCCATGGATATAAAGGTTGTTCATGTGACAGGAGTGGTTCTTTTATTTTATTAGGACTATACATAAGGCATACATCACATTGCTTTATTAAGTTATCGATTTCATGATTCATGTTTGGCCAATAAACTGTTCCTCGGGCTAAGTTTTTTGTTTTTTCCATGCCCTGATGAACTTCATGTAAAATAGAAAGAATTTCTCGTCTCATTGATGTTGGAATTACTACTGACTGAGACTTAAAAATTATATCTTGAATAATATGTAAATCTTCTTTTATATTCCAATAAGAAAGAACTTTTGGATCACAATTTTGTTTGCTATTAGGCCAACCATTTTTACAATATTCTTTTATTTTTTGTAAAATTATGTCATTATTCGTATGAAACAATATTTTATCTAGTTTTTCTTTAGTTATAGCTAAATTTGAGGTAAGTAAATTGACATGAATTTCTATATTGTCCTCTAGTTCTTCTAAACTTGTTAAGTCTTTAATTGAATTGTCTACTGAGGAACGTGAAAGTGTATCTGCAATATACATTTCTGTGCCTTTTTTATAAGTAACAATTAAATGGTATGCTTGTAATGTAATCATCATTCTTTGCAATCTAGTAGGAACATCTGACAGAGGCTTTTTAAAAAGTGTAACTAATGGCTGATGATCAGTTTCTACGAAGATAGGTTTACCAAATATATATTGGTGGAATTTTTTGCATCCAAAAACTATAGCATATAATTCTTTTTCAATCTGAGCATATTGCTCTTGACAAGAAGTTACTGACTTTGAGGCACATGCAATAGGAATTTTATCATGAAATATTACTGCTCCTACAGCATTTTTTGAAGCGTCTGCTGACATTCTTATAGGCTTATTTATATTATAATGAACTAATACTGGAGCCTGACATATTAATGATTTTAATTTTATAAATTCTTGCTCATGTGACTCTGTCCATTGCCATATATTTTGTTTCTTAAGTAAAGCTAGAAGTAAATTAGTTTTTTCTGCTAAATTAGAAATGAAGCTACCTAGATAATTTATCATTCCTAAGAAGCGTTGAAGCTCTTTGACATTTGTTGGACTTTTCATATTAATTATAGCTTCTATTTTAGACTTATCAGGGGAAACACCATTTTTATTAAAAATATGTCCTACATAGCACACTTCACACATAGGGACTCCAAAAGAACATTTTGTTTTATTAAATTTTATGTTTGCTTCTTGGGCCCTTTTAACACGTTCATTACCACTACGATTTTCATGATGTCTTCTCAGATGCCGCCTACATTTTCCGGTGGACTCACCAGGTGAGTCGCCGGCACTGCTATATAAATTGAATCGACTCGCCACGCGAGTTCACTGGCACTACTTATGGTAAATTCTATGTTTTGTTATTTTTGTGGCCGTCACAGTGTACAACGCAATTAAAAAGTGTTTTAGGACTTGTCTTTTTTCTTTAAAAAGTGTTTTAGCTTGTAAAAATGGCAAAAAACTCTTCGGATAAAAAAAAAGGTAAGTGTGTTTCGTAATTTAAGCAATGGTTGTCAATCTTTTTAACTGTGGTTACTGTTAAGGTTATATTTTGAATTTTGTAATATGTACTTGTAAATAGACAATTTTACCCTGAAATACGGGCTCTCAGTTTTAAGAATATTGTATCAGATTAAAATATATAATTTTTATTGCGAATTTAATTGATAACAATTAAAAAAAATAGTTTTTGAAAACGTTTAAAATCTGTCGAATTAAAATTAAATGATAACTTATTAATATGCAATAATTATAGTGTCTTTAAATGAAACAACATTTTTATTACGTTCGTTTATTAAGAAGTGCCTGATATTTTTTTAGCGCGGTTTGTGGCAGAAACGGAGCCTTACGACGACGATTTAACTCAGATGGAGGAGGAGAGACCTACAAAGCGACCATGCATAGAAGGTAACGTGTTTGTTTTGTTATTGATTATTTTCATTTTACTTATCTTAACAACGTTTTACCAGGTGGTAGGCCTTTTATGCTAGGTACGACTACCTGTGGTGGACACCAGCAGTGCCAGATATTCAGCCGCCAAATAGTAATGCTCTGTTCCTGTTTGAATGGCACTGTAGCTAGTGAAATAACTGGGCACATGAGACTCAAGAACTGACTTCTCACATTGATGAGCGCAGTGCAGTGCATCCAATGACTGTAAATCAAAGCAATGGGTAGCACTGCAACTGTTATGAGCTGGCATGACGCTTACCATCGTGTGAATGTCCAGCACGTCTCATCACTTGTTTACATAAAAAACATGTAATATTTAAAAGCTGCTTTATTCCTATTTTTATTTTATTTTAGGAAATCTCCAAAATTACACTGAAGACAACTCGATGAAGGTTCTGTTTGAAAATGATTCTCAAGACTGGGATGACGACAATAATAACTATCAAACATGTGACATTTCAACAAATACGAAAAACTTAAATCTTACTGAAAGCAGCACTCAAACTAATACTACAGGTGATAATTCTAAGTATATAGAAATGGCCAACGAAAGCTTTGGCATTTTTATTGGACGTGAACTTGCCAATGTGCCAATGTTTAAAAGGCGCTTTGTTATGTATCAGATTATTAGACTGATTGAAAACAATTCATAAATTAATAATTAAGGTCTCTGATAATTGGGTTGAAAGTTATGTAATGATAGAAACGCAAAAGAATCTATGAATGATTATTAATAAATACTATCAATATATTGATTAGTTTTACTTATTAATTTAATCCACAAGACTGAGTCTAAATGCTGCTATGTTAATGAATAATAATTTGTGATATTGTGTTTGTTAAGTGGTGGAAATTAGTTAAGTAAATAAAACATTATGTAAATCAACTTTTATTTTTATAACACAAAACAATTTAAATCAACATTTTTAGGCAACACAAAAATTTTTAGTACGATCTTAAAGGCTTTTACTAGTAAGTGATGCTAGTGGATGGTATAAATGCTCTTAATATTTATGGTGCGGTCTAAAACACTCAATACACAATCCTGGCTGACCTGGGCAATCTTCGCATGCGAATGCAGTTTGAACCCTTTTTTTAATGTGCGCCAACATTGATTACAACGCCTTCTCTTTGTTTTGCCGTGGGTATCTTTTGGTAGTTTCATAATACAATGAATTTTATTCATTAAAGGCCTTTGTAATGTGGGAGGCAAATGAGGTTCTATTATTGACTTAATTACACTTAAGCGGAAATCATACAATGTTAATTTTTTTGAATTGTATTTGTTATATAATAAAAAGGAGTTGACCAATAGAATTTGCATAACATGTATGATTACCTTTTTATACCATCGCAACGATTTGTGCTCGCATGAATAATAAGACAACATTTGGTCATGTCGATCGATTGCTTTCATACATTTATTGTATTTAATAACCATTTGTGGCTTTAATTTCAAAGTACCCCGTCGATTTCGCGTGAGTTCTAAATCCCCATTATATTTACTTGATATAGCCCTTATTTCTCTTTGGTCTATCCATTTTAATACACAAACATTATTCTTGTGAACAATGCATAGTTCTCCTTTTTTTAATTTCGCGGATTCAATTTCTTTTGGATTATTTTTTCTCTTCTGACGAAGCGTACCTGTGCAAAAGGTTTTATTAGAAAATAATTTTTCAACTAAACTGACGCTTTAATGTGCACAGGTCACTACTTTCATCATCTAATTTTATAATCCAGTATCCTGAGTTAGCATCTAATTTAGAAAATATTGTAGCACCGGCTATTTTAGAACGTAAGTCATCAAATGTAGGATAAGGATAATGAGGTCTTTGAATTGCTAAATTTAAATTTCTCGGATCTAGGCATATACGTAATTTACCATTAGGTTTTTGTACTAGAACAATAGAACTCACCCATTTAGTTGGTTTTGTCACTTTTTCAATAACATGTAATTTTTCCATTTTATCTAACTCTTGTTTTAATCTATCTCTAAGAGAATAGGGAATCCTACGAACTGGGCAGATTTTTGGAGGAATACTAGGATCAACATCTAAATGTGCTTCTTTGACTAAACATCCTGACCCTGTGAACATTGACGAATACTCATTAAGAATGTTTTGTACTGACCTTGACTGTTGTTGCTTATTTTCTGTTAAAGTAAATAATCTTTGTACTATACCCATTTTCTCACAACTTTTCCATCCTAAAATTGTCTGGCAATTGCAATCCGCAATAGTAAATTGTAAGTTATTTATCAAACCGTTAGTGAATTTACATTCTAAATTACAAATACCGATATTTGGAATTTCTTCGCCTGAAAAAGAATATATGTTATTATGTGTGTGTTAAAAAATAGGTATTTTTGTGTTTGTGGCTGAACAAAGTGTTTCAAAAGTTTGTTTAGACATTACATTTGTATCAGCACCTGTATCTATCCGACATTTTAATATATATCCATAACAGTCCACATCAATTTGCCAATCCTGATGTGATTTATTGATAGCGCTAATTATAAAGTTATTATTTTCAAAGGGTGAATTGTTACAGACAGTACTTACTTTATTAAGTTTAGGTTTGAAAAAACAGCAATTGGCAAAATGATTTGGTTTTTTACATGTTATACAAACTTTTCCCATTGCTGGACATTTAAATCTATGAATTTGACCACATCGGGAACATTGTTTCTTATATTGACTTGTCTGGCTGCGACTACTTGAAATGTTTCTTGATGCTGATGACTGAACGATTATCCCTTCTCCCTATGCTTCTTGAAATCCTTTTTGGCTGATATTTTGCGATATTTATATTTAATTGTTGACTATTTTGTAACTTTTCTGACCTATTTTGTGACATTTCTATGCTTTTTGCTATATTTACGGCATTTTCTATTTCCAACTTGTCCTTTTGTAACTCGCATGAATGACTTAGGTTGGTCAGACTTGTGACATATTCATCGATTGTTTCACCTTCCTTTTGTGTTCTTGTGAAAAAATTAAATCTTTCGACGGTCACGTTTTTGCATGGATTAAATTTTGCGTCGAATTTGTCAAACACGTGTTTTAAGGTTAATGAAGGATCTGCTCTGTTAATATTGAATGAATTAAATACCTTTAATCTTTCGTCGCCGATTGCGTTTAAAAGGATTGCGACTTGTTTGGTTGGTGATCGGTTGTCAAGCTCGTTTGCTTCCATAAAAATTTCGAACTTTTGCTTCCATGTCCGCCATCTTTCACATATTTGTCCGTCGACAATGAGAGGTCGTAGCGTGTTTGAAATTATAATGTTCGACTGATCTGCCATTTTATTTCTTCTTGTATTTGTATTAATTTTTCACTTCTGACAACATGTTTTATTGTAAATGAGTAAAGAAGACTTGTTTAGTTGTATAAACTTTATTTGATCACTTACATGATATGCACGTTGGGCGTTGACAAGAATAAGAAGGAAGTAATATCTATGAACGACCCAATATATAGTAATAATCATAGACAATAATGTTACACAGTCGATGCGGAATCACGGTTCAATAAAATTCTCGCCGAATTTCCATGTATAACACGGCCTCCAGGACTTCACAGAGACATTAAACATTCGACGGTACATTACATTAAAATGACAGATGGCCCACCAGTGTCATGTCGGCCACGTCGCCTCGCACCGCATAAGCTGGTGATTGCTAAACGTGAGTTCGATGAGATGCTTGTTAATGGCACCGCAGGCTATCCAAAAGTCCGTGGGCATCTCCACTGCAATTGGTGCCCAAGAAGGATCTGGTTTCTTGGCGACCATGCGGTGATTATCGTTGCTTAAATGCGCGAACCATCCCAGACCGCTATCCGTTGCGTCATATCGGGGATTTTAGTAATAACATCGCTGGATCTACTGTCTTCAGTACGCTTGATCTGATAAGAGCTTACCAACAGATACCAGTCAACGACGAAGACGTATGTAAAACGGCGATCACGACTCCTTTTGGATTATTTGAATTCCCGTACATGACCTTCGGATTGCGCAATGCGGGACAAACGTTCCAACGCTTTATGGATGAGGTTTTGCGGGATTTGGATTTTTGTTTTCCGTATATCGATGATATACTCATATTTTCCCGCAATGAAGAAGAACACGCTTGTCATCTTCGCATCCTCTTTCAGAGGCTAGCCGATTACGGCATTGTCGTAAATCCTGCTAAGTGCGTTCTGGGAGTAGACAGTGTCATCTTTTTAGGATACCGCGTTTCTAAAGACGGTATAAGTTCTCCGCCTGAACGGATAGCCGCATTACAGGAGTACCGTCTCCCTAAGACAGTGCAGGGTGGGTCTTCGTAGGTTCCTGGGTATCTTCTTCTTCTTCTTTTCGAGTCAAAATAGCTAGTTAGATCTTGTTCGACCAGTATTTGGCCACATCCACCGCAGCAGAGTTGGCTTCAAGCAGGTCTTCGTAGGTGCAGGAGGAGGGACACAACGGGCATTGCAGCAGATGGGCCATAGTTTGGACCTCGCCACAGTGACATGTATTGTTGTTGGAGAAACCCCACTTCACCAGGTTATCCTGGCATCTTCCTACACCAGATCGAAGTCTGTTTAGGGACTTCCAAACTGCCCAGGGAAGATCACCACCCGGGGGGAGCCTCTCAACAGGAGGCAAACTTGCAGGGTGTTTAGGAGGGTACTTTTTATTCTACCGTTCCAGCCTAGCTTTTGGAGCGAGCCTCTCATTTAAGCTAGGCTGTCTGAGAAAGCTGTTACGGCTCTTTAGACGTGGTGGTGGTGGAGTCTGGCTGTGAAGTGGATGCCTGCTATCATACTTCTGTTTATGCCTCTCCACACTGCAAGCCACTTCTCGACGAACACTTGGCGGTGCTATACCAGCCAGGCTATACAGTTCGTGCAAAGGAGTCGGTTTCAGAGTCCCGGTAACCACCCGACATGCGGCATTTAGGGCAACATCGACCTCTTTGGCATGAGCAGAGCGTGCCCAAACTGGGCATGCGTATTCGCCTGCCGAGTAGCATAAAGCTAAGCTACTCGTCCGTAGTACATGAGGTGATGCACCCCATTGGGAAGAAGTGAGGCGGCGTAATATGTTGTTTCTTGAGCTTTGGACCTCAGTTTGCGACAGTTTTAGATTAATTTGAATATAACATTTTTATTTCATGCCCTATTATTAAGTCGTATATTTTTTGCATTTTAGTATACCTATTTATGAACATGGATAGCAAACCAAAAAAATCGAAAACATATCATTTCAATGAAGAATGGGAAATTAACTATTTTTTTACGATGGTGAATGATAAATGTTGCTGCTTAATATGTCTTAGCTCGATAGCCATTGCTAAAAAGGGTAATTTGGAGAGACATTTCTTATCTTTACATAACAAGTATCAAACAGATTATCCCACCAAATTCCGAATTACGAAAACGTAAAGTTCGGGATCTTAAAACTCAATTAACAAATCAACAAAATATTTTCAAAAAGCCAATATTGAAGTCACAAGCAGTAACAACTGCATCCTTCAAAGTAAGCTATCTATTAGCTAAAAAGTGTAAACCATTTTCTGATGGTGAATTTGTAAAGGAAATGTTCTTGGAAATCTCGGATTCCCTTTTTAATGATTTTAAGAACAAGAGCGAAATTACTGCTGCAATTCAAGATCTACAACTGTCCCGAAACACAGTGACGCGACGAATCGAAAAGATGGGTGGAAATTTAAAGGAACAGTTACAAAATGATATTAACAGATGCTCTTGTTTTTCTCTTCAATGTGATGAATCGACAGATATAAGTGATACTGCACAGTTACTTGTTTTCATTCGTTTAGTTTTTGAAGATTTTACATCTAAAGAAGAATTGTTGGGTATGATTTCTTTGAAAGAAAGGACTAGAGGTGTAGATATATTCAACGGGTTTAAAAGTCTGCTTAGGGCGCTTTTAGTGTCACGCGGATTTGCTCACGCACGCGGGATTGGACCGCATGCGTAGCATCCGCAAAGAACAATTTCATATAGGTATCTATTGTAAAGCGTGATAAACGCACGCGGGACGCGGGGCGCTGTGCGGGGCGTCACCCCGGTGCGGGGTATCCGCATGCGTAAGCGCTGCCTACAACTTCAGTGCCCATTTTAGAGTCGAGCGGGGCGCACGCGCCGTATTGTACTACCGAAATGAAAATCGATACAGAACGAGTAATCATTGAAGTTCATCTGCGGCCCGTTTTGTGGGATAAACGCAATGAATTATACAAAAACAGGGACGCGAGGGAGGCTGCATGGAGAGATATTTTGAAGGAATTGGCACCTAACTACGAAAATTTGAGCGAAGAGGAAAGAAAAGAGGCGGGTATGTGTTTGGTTCATTATTTTATTTATACAAGCATCATTACTTTATTAATATAAGCATAATTATTTAATTCACAAATAACATCAAAAAACCTTCTAAAACCTTTTGAGTTTAGTTAATTAATTATATATCGGTGTTGCCAGGAGACTTTTCCTTCATTGATAAAGTAATCTGCAAATATATCTCTGATATTACTTGCCGACGTATTACTACTTTCAGTCTGCTGCCTGGGTAGTGGTCCCGTAAAACCATTTGTGACAAATGTATGGCTGACCTTGTAGCCATCCCGTTTCCTTATGAAATTGTGAAGTACACATGCCGTCTTGACTATTAATTGTGCTAGATCTAACTTGACATTCATGGATCTGTGAAATATTCTAAATTTATTTGACATAATTCCAAAAGTGCATTCTATGTACCTTCTAGCTCTGGACAGACGGTAATTAAATATTTTCTTTTTGTAAGGTAAATTATCACGAGCATAAGGCCGCATCACATGTGATGATAAACCAAATGCCTCGTCTCCCACTATCACGAACGGCAACTTTGCTCTTACACTAGATGGATAAGCTACTTCGGGGCAAATAATAGGCAACTCTTGCGGGTCAGGGATACCCAACGTGTTACTTTCCAGTTTCGTATACAATTGACTCCTTCTAAAGATGGTTGAATCGGCGTTGCTTCCACTGGTACCGACATTAATATATGTAAAATTATAATCAGCATCACACATTGCGAGGAGCACTACAGAATAATATTTCTTATAATTAAAATTATAGTGATCCACTGTGCGGCGGCCGAATCACTCTTATATGTTTTCCATCAATTGCACCCAAGCAATTAGGAAAATTTGTATATGTGAGAAATCCCTCTGCGATTTCTTTCCATTTGATCCCATTAAGCTGTGGAATACATTCAGACTTTAGTTCAATCCATATTATGTAACAAACTTGTCTTACTATTTCGCTAATTGTTGCAATTCCAATCACATAGGAATAGTGTAGATCAGTGAATGTATTACCAGTTGCCAAATATCTGAAAACAAAAACAATATATTAATAATATGATAACATAATATATTAATAATGCTGACATCAGACATAAGACAGCATGCACCGCTCGAATTTTACTTCAGAAGAAAAATAAATACCCTTAAGGTGAAAGGGCACGGAAGTAGCTAGCGCTAGAAGTTTTTAATTCGTTTTAACTACAGTACTATAGCTACGTTAGATTTCTATGATTTGCCGAAAATTTTATCATAGGGGGGTATTTATGCAGTTATGATTTCATATGAAAAGTTCGAAGTATAGTTATGTATCTCATATCTGCTAAAAGTGGCCACTTTTAGCAGATTTGAGACACATAACTATGCTGTAAATATTTTATAAGAAATCTTCTCTGTATAAATTAACCCCTATGGTAAAATTTCCGGCAAATGAAAGGAATCTAATAAATATATATAATATAATATAATGAAATATCGTTTATTTCAGGCAATATTTACATTACAAGATGTCCTCCTTCCGGAAGTTTTCACCTTAATTTTGATGATGGCAAATTTTACTGTAACAAATAAACAAATTGCCCGATTCAATCCGGTGTTTTTCCAAAAATCCTTAAATGAAGTTCTAATTATTTTTGTAAAAAATGAATTATTTCGTCGATGTCTGCGCCGCGCCGCCCCGGCCGCGCCGTCTGCGTCTAGTATAAGATTCACTTTGCGCTATCGTTCGCGGCGAAATTGACCGGCCTGCGCCGGCCCGCCGTTTGCGTTGCGCCTAAGGGTACTTTTCCTTCAACTGCGGCCTTATTTTTCCACTCTGTATAGGTATATATATATTGCTTGATTTATCTAATGCTTCATGAGACAGTGTAAAGTTGACAACATGTGTGAATTAAGGAGGGCCTTTAATCGAATGCAGTTAAATTTCCAACTAATATCAGATTTGTACACACGGCCACAGATCAAGCTTCCCAAAACCAGTATAAACAGGACTCATGCGTTGTTTATTATCGTAGACGACTCGGCGCCCGGCGAGGCCCTAGCAAGTTCCGTTTATTGGTACTGGTTTTGGGTAACTTGATCTGAAACTGTGTGTACTTTTGCCACTTACTTATTATATTTTGTCATTTCAGACAAGAAAATACAACAACGCTGGCGAACAGCAAGGGACACTTACCAGAAAGACAAGATATCTGAAAAAAATCAGCCATCCGGCTCTGGGAGTAAGAAGAAGAAGAAGAAATATTCTTACTATGACATTTTGACTTTCTTAGACAGTACAACGGAAACTGCTGGAGAAGAGTCACTCTGTGAAGAAATGTCTGAACAAAGTAATTTAGAAACACCTAATGAGTCCACGCAACCAGATACTTCACGTCAAGAAAGTTCTCACCCAACATCAAAACAAAAACAAGTAAAATCTAAAAAGCAAGCACCATCTGAATTTGAGGCACAGTTATTAGAATGCTTAAAGTCTAATCAACTGGAGCTAGAAAGTGAGGATTTGGCTTTCTTTCAGTCTCTGCAGCCTTCATTAAAAAGATTCACTAGATATCAAAAACTAATGTTCAGAACAAAAGTGTTAAATATAGTTATGGAAATGGAAAGTCAAACACAACCTGCATACTACAGTCCCATACCTACAACAAGTTCTAGTGCTTTTACTGAGCTTGACAGTTTGTCACCGATAAATCAAGATTACCAAACCAATAGTATAATCCAGGATACTTCGAGTCTTAACGACAATGCTATTAGTTCTGCTGCAGTGAATGACAATGAAACTCTTATTTCGACTGAAAGCGGCCTGTTTAATATCACGTCTTATGACGTAATTTATACCCCAGCAACAACATCATCTACAGGCGAAAGTAATGTCAACGCTCAGGATACAAATTTACAAAGAAATGAATGATGTAAAATTTGATTTTTTAATTTATGAATAAAACTCTTTTTTATTAAAATGAGTACGATTAACTTTTTTTCTCCAGTTTCTCTCTAATTGTTTGTTTAGTCATATGAGTGCGGTTGTACACACGGCACAGATCAAGTTACTCAAATCCAGTATAAGCGGGACTCCGACGGGTTACCTAAGTATGATAATACGCAAGGCGCGAGTTCCATTTATGCTGGTTTTGGGTAACTTGATCTGTGGCCATGTGTACTTTATCAGATAAAAAAAAGGATTGTGTATGTAGGTTGAACGTACCAATCCCAAACCAATTAAGGGCTTTTTTTGACTTTAAATTACTGTCATGTGCAAACCTATAACTTTTATCTATATTATAATAAGTAGCGTGTGATGAAAGGTAGGAATGATTCCACTTTAATGGCGACATTTTATGAGTGAAATAATCTTATTTAATGAAATTTCAACATGAAATTGAATGAAATTATGAACAATGAAATTTCAGAGTACATGACAAAATTTTTTTTTGCACATGTAAATTTACACATGACAGTAATTTGAAGTCAAAAAACGTTTATCCTACCTGTTCAAATCCCTTTCCACTAAATCATAGCAGGAAATTAAATATTTAAAATTTAAAACTTACCTTAATGTAATAGCGAGCCTCTCAATCGGTTGTATTGTAATCCTTCGTAAACTGCTTTTTTGTAGCTTATTCTCAATTTTACACAACAGTTCATCAAAAGAACGAATGGACATTCGAAAGTAATTTTTAAATTTACGTTCATTATTTTGTAGTTTTCCAAAGCGTGTAACAAACGCCCCAGCAAGAAGCCTATTTTCAAGAAAGGGATCAACATGTACTCTTGTCTTCTTGTTTCGTCGTTTGTAAAGTATGTAAGCGACACATATTCTTCTGACATTGATCATTTTTGAACACGTCTATACCGTTACGCAGCCCGTAGAAAACTGAAACTCATGCTGCGTATGATCCGCAGCGTGAAATTTTACGCATGCGGTCCAATCCCGCGTGCGTGAGCAAATCCGCGTGACACTAAAAGCGCCCTTAATGATAAGAAAGTACCTCTTTTTAAATTAGTTTCAATAACAACGGATGGCGCAGCTGCAATGATAGGCCGCAAAAACGGATTTATAGCCCTATGTCGAAATGACGATGAATTCCCAGATTTTTTGAGTTACCACTGTATAATTCACCAGCAAGTATTATCCAGCAAGAGACTAAATACAAAAGAAGTAATGGACATCGCGTTTGAAATTGTTAATTCAATTCGTGGAAGTTCTCTCAAACGGCGTCTTTTTCAACTAAAACTCGATGAAGGTCAGTCTGATTTATTATTGCATACTGATGTAAGATGGCTAAGTAGTGGTAAATTTCTACAACGATTTCGTGATTTATTGCCTGAAATAATAGAATTTCTTAATGAACAAGAGAAAAAATATGCTTATTTAAATAACAAAACCTGGCTTAGTGACTTAGCATTCCTTACAGATTTTACTTCCATATTAAGCCATTTAAATTTAGAATTACAAGGTAAAAATAAAACAATAATTGATATGATTAGCAGCATAGATACATATAAAACCAAATTTATTTTGTTGATAGAAGATTTACAACAAAATAATATGAACCATTTTCCAAATATGGCAGACAACTTACAAAAAAATAAAAACATTATTTATGAGATTGACAAGTACGTGGCCGAAATACAAAATGTAATGGAAGATTTTGAGAAGCGATTCCAAGATTTTAAAAAAATTAAAGAAATTGTGGAATTTACATCTTTTCCTTTCAAAAAAGATTTAATTGTGAAGGAAATTAGCAAAAAAATTGCAGACTTATTTGATATGGAGCAAAACGCCTTGGAAAATGAAATTATAATTTTACAATCTGATTTAATCTTACAAGCCAGAAAATTTTAAGAAAATTTTTTGAAATATGTTAACCGAGAAAAGTATCCCAATATTATCAAATGTAGCGAATATATTTATTCTTGCTTTGGATCTACGTATCTGTGCGAATCGGCATTTTCATATTTACAATTGACTAAAACTAAACTTCGTTCCGTCCTGACCGATTCTCATACTGAGGACTCATTGTTATTGTCTTTGTCAGGATATACTCCAAATTATGATGCACTAGTAAAGGAAATGCAGACTCAGGTTTCTCATTAATTTAAAAAGTTTGAATGAATAAATGTTATTAATAAGTGCTCATGTTGTTTTAATTCCTCTGGACATAAGTTTTTTAACCCATTAAATAAATACTCATGTATGTAGATTATTTACCCCTTAATCATAGAGCTCGCCAAAGTGCACGTCGGTATAAAAGCACATTGCAAAAACATCCCCTTCTTACCTAAAAAATAGGTCGATCGCGACACAATTTTAAAATAAAAAGTAGATCTTATGTGCACCAAAGTTGGCCACACCTGCTCTAGAGAGCCTGTAATTAGACTTTTTGTTTGTATTCCAAACCTTCATGTCTTGAATAGGGTTTCATTAGAAAACTGCTTTATTGGGTAGTTCCAAATTATTACTTTCACGAGCACTGTATAACGTTATTTTTCCAAATATACGAATCGTTCATGCGTCCATTAGTTCCGACATCTATATATATGAAACGGTAATGTGCATCCACTATAGAAAACTTAAGAATTGAAATTATAATAGTTTGAACTTTTGAAGCTCCGTGTGGTGGATTTTGTATTAAGACGTTGCCCGTCAATAGCCCCACAGCAGAAAGGAAATTGCCAATGATCTAAAAAATCTTTCTGTCTAATGGATGATGATGCGGGGAAGGTGCAGGGGACAAGGCCTTGGCGAGCGCAGTGCTGTATTTTTATAAGAATGTTAATAAGCATATTTACTATTACTTAATTAGTTAAAATTACAAGCACAATAAAAGGCACGCGATTATACGAGTCGCGAATTTTATTACTCGCTTCGTTGTGACTTGTTACTTGTTTCTTTAGATGATATCACATATATTCAAGGGCAGTGTAAAGCTCAAATGAAGAAAATCGCGGTCAAGTGGTCAACATTAAGTTGAATAGAGATGGTGCGATTGAACAGTTACTGTGAATGTGCTACTGGCAGTGGTTTAGAAGCTCATTGTAAAGAATGTAAGGATTTTATTACGTGGTATTGAAGGTATTGTGCGTACTTAAACTGTTAGTCTTCATTAAATATGCACTCAGAAGTTAATGGATTTCAAACGGTACACGCTCAAAAGTTGCCTAATGAAAGAAGAAAGTTATAAACAATTCACCTCCAAGAGAAGATGACATAATAGATAATTACGAAGATAAATTTAGCCATTTTACGTGGTAATTACAAGTCATATGTTAGAAACGATAAAACCATTGGTTTCCAAGTCATGATATCACATATATTCAAGGGCAGTGTAAAGCTCAAATGAAGAAAATCGCGGTCAAGTGGTCAACATTAAGTTGAATAGAGATGGTGCGATTGAACAGTTACTGCGAATGTGCAACTGGCATTGGTTTAGAAGCACATTGTAAAGCATGTAAGGATTTTATTACATGGTATTGAAGCTATTGTGCGTACTTAAACCGTTAGTCTACATTAAATATGCACTCAGAAGTTAATGGATTTCAAACGGTACAAGCTCAAAAGTTACGTAATGAAAGAAGAAAATTATAAACAGTTTCACCTCCAAGAGAAGATGCCACAATGGATAATTACGAAGATAAACTTAGCCATTTTACGTGGTAATTACAAGTCCTATATTAGAAACGATAAAACCATTGGTTTCCAAGTCATGATATCACATATATTCAAGGGCAGTGTAAATCTCAAGTGAAGAAAATCGCAGTCAGGTGGTCAACATTAAGTTGAATAGAGATGGTGCGATTGAACAGTTACTGTGAATGTGCTACTGGCAGTGGTTTAGAAGCACATTGTAAAGCATGTAAGGATTTTATTACATGGTATTGAAGCTATTGTGCGTACTTAAACCGTTATTCTACATAAAATATGCACTCAGAAGTTAACAGATTTCAAACGGTACAAGCTCAAAAGTTGCGTAATGAAAGAAGAAAATTATAAACAGTTTCACCTCCAAGAGAAGATGACATAATGGATAATTACGAAGATAAACTTGGCCATTTTACGTGGTAATTACAAGTCATATGTTAGAAACGATAAAACCATTGGTTTCCTAGTCATGATATCGCATATATTCAAGGGCAGTGTAAAGCGCAAATGAAGAAAATCGCGGTCAAGTGGTCAACATTAAGTTGAATAGAGATAGTGCGATTGAACAGTTGCTGTGAATGTGCTACTGACAGTGGTTTAGAAGCACATTATAAAGCATGTAAGGATTTTATTACATGGTATTGAAGGTATTGTGCGTACTTAAACCGTTATTCTACATTACATATGCACTCAGAAGTTAACAGATTTCAAACGGTACAAGCTCAAAAGTTGCGTAATGAAAGAAGAAAATTATAAATAATTCACCTCCAAGAGAAGTGACATAATGGATAATTACGAAGATTATATCAGAAACTTGGCCATTTTACGTGGTAATTACAAGTCATATGTTAGAAACGATAAAACCATTGGTTTCCAACTCATGATATCGCATATATTCAAGGGCAGTGTAAAGCTGAAATGAAGAAAATCGCGGACAAGTGGTCAACATTAAGTTGAATAGAGATGGTGCGATTGAACAGTTACTGTGAATGTGCAACTGGCAGTGGTTTAGAAGCACATTGTAAAGCATGTAAGGATTTTATTACATGGTATTGAAGGTATTGTGCGTACTCAAACCGTTAGTCTACATTAAATATGCACTCAGAAGTTAATGGATTTCAAACGGTACAGGCTCAAAAGTTGCCTAATGAAGGAAGAAAATTATAAACAGTTTCACCTCCAAGAGAAGATGACATAATGGATAATTACGAAGATAAACTTGGCCATTTTACGTGGTAATTACAAGTCATATGTTAGAAACGATAAAACCATTGGTTTCCTAGTCATGATATCGCATATATTCAAGGGCAGTGTAAAGCGCAAATGGAGAAAATCGCGGTCAAGTGGTCAACATTAAGTTGAATAGAGATAGTGCGATTGAACAGTTGCTGTGAATGTGCTACTGACAGTGGTTTAGAAGCACATTGTAAAGCATGTAAGGATTTTATTACATGGTATTGAAGGTATTGTGCGTACTTAAACCGTTATTCTAC